GACTACGGAATGTTCCGTCAACCTGATCATACATAGGGCCTATGGCGGGTGTGACCGGTCGACACTGGATGCTTACTCCTCTTAGGCACCTGATCCAACCTCTGGAATTCCCAGATGTCCGTCCTTTACACCCTCTTCACATATTTGTATTTAATAGATTTTTTTAGATCACTGTTCATTATCCTCACCTTTTTTCATTAAAGCATGCATTTCTGTTATTATGTTATTTTTTTTCAATCTCGTAAAAAGAAATGAAACAAATCTATGTAAAATAGTTGAGTCCATATATATATATATATATATATATATATATATATATATATATATATATATATATATATATTGAACAGCGCCGCTAAAGCAAAATGTTCTAGTAAGTTTTCCTGCAATTAATCTCAGGCAATTTTTATTGCATGGAATATGGAGATAACCAACTATTCAAGCTCAAAGTCCATTTAAACAAAACAAATCGGGAGCATGGCAAACACGGACCTCCAAAAACATCAGAGATGGGATCAGGTGCCATGGAGGAGTGAGTATCCCCTGCCGACCGGTCACACCCACCGTGTGTGCTCCTTGTCATGATCGGGGAAAAACGGAAAATTCCGTAGACAATTCAGTGTGTAAATAATGGCCTTAGTATGAAAAACGTCAGTCAGCATTTGACTTAATGATAGGATGTATTTGCTGACAAGAGTATTGTATCGACCATAAAACGTGCGAAATGATGACTTCAAACGAGACTGCTGATATCCTTGTTTCATCAACTTGTTTGTCCATAGCTTCCCTCGTTTTAGAAATTGTTCATACGTTGAGCATGCTTTTGCGTATCTAATCATCTGGGAGACCAAAGCCCATATGCAGGTGATAAGGGTATATTGCTGCATAAGTAACGGAAGTTGACGATTGAAAAATTGAAGTCATCACGTTTATCATAAAGGTTTGTTGTTAGGTTAGCATTAAAGTCTTTTTCTAGTAAATTATCCAAATATGAAACAGATCTGTCAGACTCCGTGGTATCTTTTATTTCAAGCTCACTTGGATCACTTACATGCAATTCTCTGCATGTACACATGTTGCAACTAATTGCATACATTTCCTCTACATTCCCTCCAAATTTGTACATTTAAAACGAAGTTGTATTGAAGACTGCATCCTAAAATTAAAACAAATCAAACTCAAAAGTTGAACTATATACATTCTTAATGAAACATTTAGACAATTTGCTTGTTTGTATATTGCAAGTAGGAATGTTTATGTATTATTAATAGCACACATCATTTTGATGGTTTAGGTTTGTAATAAGGCCTTTCTTTTTGTAGTCATTTTTGCATTCTTTTACGTGTAGAAAATAATTTGTATATTCTGCTTTGTCCTCTTTTTTTTAAAGTTCTGATTGATTACTGCAAAAGAAAAAGCATGCAACTCCATTCAAAATAGAGCAGAGCTCTATTCCATAAGCAATATCATGTGTCATCAAAACTTTTGCATGCAATTAATATTTATCAGCTCCATATTTAGATATTTTACTGACAATAGACGATAAAGGCCAATTAACAACTAAATTGTATGACAAACAGAGACTTTAGCATTTCCATCGTCAACTTTCCTTATTTATGTAGAAATATCCGACTATCACCTGCATTTGGTGTTAATACATCTCCCAACTTATTCGATACTCAAGAGCATGCTCCGAGTACGATCAATTTTTAAAGCAAGGCAGGCTACTCACTGATAAGTTGATGTTATAGGGATTTCAACAGCCTGGTTTAAAGTTAATATTTCGTAAATGTTATGGTCGTTATATTAACCTTGTAAGCAAATATAACCTATCATTGGGTCGTATTTTGGCTGATATGTTTCGTACCAATTGTTAGGCCTTTGTGTCCGTGTTTTATGCCCTCTTCACATATTTGTATTGTTTGTGGATCACTGTTCATTATCTTTACCTTTTACTTTCCAGACTCTGTAATATTTCCCATGGGATTATGCAGCGTGTGCATGTGCCTTAAAACTGATTCGTGGCCACATTTATGACTTGGACACGTAACGTGGTACTTTATGAGGTAGCTAGAGGGATATCTTATAGGAATGACATCAAAACCTTCAGTAGAGAAAAAAAAACATACATACGTGGTTATCTTAGACAGACGTAAAAACGTAGATTTGACCAAGTTTATTTGAAACGTTGACTTTAAAAAAATCTATTACAAGCTACCTTGTTTAATTCTAAAATCCTAAAAATTTCAATTTATCACGTTTACACCATTTATACAGTGGATACCGGTCATAGGATACTGTATACATACGAGGGGTTATCAAAAGTTCGTGGACTGATGCGATAAAATTAATTAATACTATGTAGTCTGTGCTTACAAAATTTATAAGGAACATAAAACAACAAAAGTTTAAGAAACGTTGAAAATTTTAGTCTGATACGTTGATTATTTGCCAAATTATTCTAAATTAAAAAAGACATTATAAGACATTATATGATCACCCGGCGCTGTCGCCGTTTAGTTTCATGACGTCCGACAACGTCATTGTTTCTCAATGTTCGCTTTCTCTACCCCATACACTTATCTTGATAAGATTACGAGTTAAGTAAGGACTTAAACCCGTCTTGTTTACGTGACTTTACAATGTCATGAACAGCTGCTTTCAATGCATATAATATTGTAAATCAATCTATACACAGGGAAAGATCCTCACTTGATTATGCCAGAATACTTAGCTTGTTGGAGTTCAATTTCTACCACACATGATCAACGTCACTTTTTGACGTGACCGACTTTTGACACCCTGACTACAAATAGACATTAACTGTGCATCTTTCATCTCTCTGGATTTTTTGGACATTTCAATACAAGTACTCTTGATGTATTTTATTTTTCTGTAGCCCGTTTAAACATTCCTTAGGTCTATACCAATTTTTCCAAGTGCGAAACTTTATAGAATGCTGGAAAAAGAAACCCCTCCCCCTTTTTGACGTCATTTTCAAGCCCTTAATTATTTGGACACTCCATATAAAATTTACGATTAAATTTCATAGAACTTACAGAATGGGGTAAAAATTGCAAGTATTGTGATAGCACACTATTAAATACATTTGTGTGCATTTATAAAAATGGAAGAGAGAGAGAGAAAAAAAAGAGAAAGAGAGAGAGGATATTCAATATTCTGTTGTTGGATTTGGAACGAGTGGGACAGTATACACTTATCCACTGGCTGTGAGTGGGATAGCTCTTTTATCAAACCCGCGACAGGAACTATTCCCCGGGGGCTTGCCCGAGGGGAATAGTTCCTGTCAAGGGTTTGATGAAAGAGCTATCCCAGTCACAGCTAGTGGATAAGCGTTTTATTATACTGATGTATATCATAATTTCTGAGGGTTGGATTTACCTGATACTACAGTTCGATAGTAAAAACATGAAAAAAAAATAATTGTAAAAGTTTGAACAAGTATTTGGAAAAAGATAACACTGCTAGAATGAGCTGAAATCCTGATGACGTCACAATGCTACTGAAGTCAGGGTGACATCATAAGTCTATAGATTGATTACAGGAAATCAAAATTGACGGCAAAAATTGCATGAAAATTTTCCGAGGGGTGGATATCAAAAACTATACCCCGGGGTATAGCTTTGCTATGTGTGGAAATTTTGAGACTATAAAAGATAGTTATTCTACCTTCTTAACTTTATACAGGAAACATTTTAACAGAAGTATAATAACAAAAATTATTATACTTCTGTTAAAATGTTTCCCATATAAAGTTAAGAAGGTAAGAAGTCTACTGAAAAATAAGTTCATGTTTCAGGATTTTCAACTATCTCGATTTAAGCCAGCATTTCGCAAATTCTATGGTCGTTTTAATAATATTGTTTGGAAATACAAACTATCGTTGGTTCGCATGAAGACTAACATGTTACGCCATTTTTACCAATGTGACTACGGAGTACTCTACCTGATCAAAACAGTGAGCTCACGGCGGATGTGACCGGTCGACAGGGGATGTTTACTCATCCTAAGCACCTGATCCGAACTCTGATGTTTCTAAGTGTCCGTATTTTTTTTTCTGTTCACGATTCATATTCTGTACTGTTCGTTAACTTAACCTCAGTCTAAGGTTAAAGTCTTAAGGATGACACATTTTTGGATAAGACCACGTAGTACAGGAAAATAATTATAACGTACAAATTTTATTCCATTTCAATTAACTCTTTGAGAAATTAATCCCAAAAATTTCAAAATTTTGCAGTAAAATCGATTTGCAAAACAGAATAAGGCTGTGTGGAAATCTTTTTTCGTCAAATCAGCTTCATTGTTATAATGAAAAATCAAATCGAAGAAACCATCTCAGAAAATCATCTTCTTGAGTTCCAAAATTCGTTCAGGTTTCTTGATTGTCTATTCATTACAATTATTCCACATTTTCTTCTCCCCGAGCAGAGTTTTTTTCCGGCAGCAAAGTAATTAATACCGAGATTCGGAATAACAAACTTGAAGGGACATGTTTCTTTCATTAAATAAAAGCAAAAACAAGTTATCTTCAGGTTGTCATTTGAGTAATACGAGTTCGTCTTTGGTTCCGGTCTATCGTCAAATTGACGTTTAAGACATTCCATATGAAATGGAAGAATCAATGACCTTCTTTCTCAAATAGATTTTTAAGATTTAAATGCAGTGAAATAATATCAAGACTGGTATTTAATTTGCTTCGATTTTCATAACTTAGTTATTTACCGAAGATTTATGTATACCGACATCAATCTCTCTCTCTCTATATATATATGAATAGGAGCAGGAATTATTGTCCATAAAACACTTTGAATGAACATGCATTTAATAAACCTTGCTCCTTTTATTTAAAAACAATTATTGGTCAGGTATGTTTGACAGAAAATGATGATGTGTAAAATTTTTAGCGTTGTCCTCTATGATATTAACTAAATGTCAATTGCGCACCGACTGTCATTTAACCTAATAACAATCCCGAACCAAATCTGTAAGGTTAGGTTCCTATGATTTATCCTCTCACGCAGAGCCCGAATAACTGTGGCAGTCAAAAGTTAGATTTGTACACATATATAACTATCTACTGAAACAAAACCACTTTTTGAAGTCTGATCCCGTTATTGTGATGTAGGAGATCTGAGACGACGGCTTGCTTCGGTGAACACGGCAACATGAAAACAAATCCTTTCTTGAATGGAAGTAAGGAAGTTAAAAGATATTTTTTAAAACTGTGTATACACATACCGTATACTACTCGAGGCTTTTCAGTAAAGAACCTGAAGTGGACGTGTCGAAACCTTGAATTTAACTGCAGAGTTAATTTTTGTGGATTTTGAAAGTAATAGTATGGAGAACATAACTAAGATCTTAAATGAGAGGTACGCCGAAATTGTTCTCCCAAACACGGTGCTCCTGGCACTTGGGATGACGGTGGGAGCCGTGGGGAACATAGCCATTATTTCACTGTATGTGTCCAAGATACAGGATAAAAAGGGGGACCGTTACTTTATACCCGTCCTCGCTTTCATTGATTGCTTGGGTTGTGTTGCCAATGGATCTTTCTATACTACAGATAACGCCTTCCTCTTTTTGTATCCAAGTGAAGTTCTTTGCCGTATTTTGATATTCCTCTTAACTTTTGCATCAGGATTCTCTGCTCATGTTCTTTTGGTCATTGCCTTGCAGCGATACCTTCTTATTTGTCGACCATTTGGCAAACAACTGACTTTGTACAAGAGGAGGATATCTTTGGTAATAATCACAGTGGCCTGTCTCGGGTATGCTTGTCCACTGATAGGTATAGGCGGCATTAGACACACCAATTCCACATTTCTAAACCAGACGTTTGAGAGCCACATGTGTGTGCTATCTGTAGAGACTTCTTTTGGGACACTGGTGTACTTTGGGACAATGGCTTTGATTACTGTGGCCAACATATTGGTAACAGCTGGGTTGTATATTCCAATAACAAGAGCTATTTACAGGACATTTTCGTTCCACAAGAAAAATGTTTATAAAAACAACAAGGACAGAAGGATCTCTGACAGCCAGAGTAGCAGCACTCAGATCTCTCACATAACAATCGAGGAAACGAACATCAATCAACAGCAGAACATAAGTATACGTCATCCGAAAGGTGAAATACAGCAAAAATCATCAAAACAGGAGTGTAAAACAATTCATAGAACAAACACAGAAGCCAGGAAAGAGAAAGTAAAAGCAAAGATAAACTTAATGTTTCTGATCATTATTTTGGTGTACATACTGTCATACATTCCTACCCTGGCGATTCTGATAGCGACATACACCCTAAGTGATTTTACTTATCTTGAACTGTCTACGGTGGGGATTAATTTGTGGCTCTTCTGTGCCCGGTTTTTGCTGCTCAATCACGTGATCAACCCGTTTATATATGGGTATTTTGACATCAAGTTACGGACTGAATTCGCAAAACTTTGTTGTGCTTTTGTGAAACGGAAATTGGATTATTCTGTGGATAGCCAAACAACTTAATAATTGTTTAATATGTACTTTTTTGGTTTCAGCATTGCCCTAGAAAAGAAATGCGACCAATTAAACCAAATGAATGTCAGGTTGACTAAGCATTGTATGCATTTACATACTAATCACCATTACAAGCAATATTTGGTATGAGATTCAAAAGGTTCATGACCAATTTCATGTATTTTTAACACTGTTTTTATGCCGCGAGAAATAAAAAAAAACATTTGCTTGATATAACATTTTTTTTTAATTTCAAATGTAAATACTAATGTAACCATTAAATAATACAATTGCAGTAAAAGCAATAGCTAGCAATATTTCATGAGAATAAAACATTAAGCAAAATACAAAATAACAAAAATAATTTAAATAGTGCAAAATAGGCAAAACTATCTGCCTTCTAATACTGCAACGGTGTGTGAGCTCTGTATTGCACAGCCCGGGAAAAACAAGCGGGCGGATCCTGAAATGTAAATTAGATTCTTTAATAGATTTAATCCTGGTCAGAACACTCGTCATTGAAATGAATGGATGATGGTTACTAACTTTCCTCTATATGTTAACAGTGATTTTGGTTTGAAGTTGGTAAGCTCTTACCAAAACAAAATGACACAATATCGATTTATTGCACATGATATGTAAAGGCAAATTGGTTAAAAATTAGTTAAGGGATACACTGCCCCGAATAAATAAATACGGGGTTAGCTGTAGAATATGACATAATGGCATTCACAGTCATTTTTAGATTTAAAACGTAAAGAACCTGAAGCTTATCCGTCAGAGATAAGATTAAATTTCTTATTTCAAAAGTCTGGGTATCACAGGTACAAACTCATTAATAAGTTAAGTTCTTTTCGCTAACATTTGATTTACTTGAACAAAACGGCAAAAACGAAACAAGACACATGGACAAAAAAATTGAATATTCTTAATTCTAACCCCCCACCCCAAATCTTTTCCCCAATCTCACTCATAAGGCACTTTCGTAATTTTCTTCCAAGTTCAACTGTTTGTAGTCAAAACATGGAGAAGATGCCTATCTAGATTGAGTGTTATTACCTATATTTTTGTCATTTCGCTCTAACAATTACCTAGATACAAAAACAGGTCTTCAATCCATTACAATTGCAATAAAAACCACTCCAGTAAATGCTGATATGCATTTTGTCATTACCTTTAAGTAAATTTGAATAAGTAATACTGATCGAAACAGCTTCATTTATATATTTTTTTTAAATTGACAGAACTAAATCTTTATATTTCTAAACGAATAAATTTCTATCAGTCAAAGGGAAAATAGATTAATACAAATTTGAATTCGCGAGGAAAGCAAAATACAACATATGTATTACATAATGTAACCATTCAAATTTTCTTATAAGTAGTAATATCTACGATGTTTTAAAACTTTACCTATTTGGAGAAAAAGACTTTGTTTATTTTTATACTCCTGTTAAACATATACATGTATTATACAGTTCATGGATAATTTCCTTGTTTTGACGTATCAGTTCTATAAATCGCGAATAATTTCCTTATTAATCAGTTTCATAAGTATAAGAAAACATGAACAGGACTGATATGAATTAAAATTCAGTATATCTATCTCTTTAATTGGTTAAAGGGCATCTTATTATTTTCACTGCAGAAATTTTATTGTTTTCTTTCTTCACAATCGAAAAACGCAAGGAAATTCTTTCTTACCAAGATAATTTATACAAATTTAAGATCTTTTGCTATTTTCTCTCCAAATATCATGCTGTCCATTTTGAATTTACAAGTTGTACTAATACAAGACTTACAACAAGATGCTGTAATCATTCATGAATTATTAATAACTATACTCAAGGCATTGAAAATATACAATATCACAAAAAATGTATTAGGAATATGCTTTCTGCCATTGTCGCTTTGTTTCATCGCTTCCACACAGTGATTCTTTTTTGGTTCTAACGTGCTGAAAGAACCCCTAGAGAGCATTTGATTGGCTGTCGTGATCCGCTCAGCATTTAATTGGTTGCCGTGATTTCGGAAGTAATAATGTACACAACATTGAAGAAATACAGATTTGCAAAAGAAAAATGGGTTCAAATATATGCGCTCTTTCGTTGCCGTTTTTTTTCTTCTAATTCTGACCTTGTCAGCAAATACAATTTATCATTGAGTCAAATGCTGACTGACGTTTTTTCATACTAATTGTTAGGCCATTATTTACACACTGAATTGTCGACGGATTTTTCCGTTATTTCCCGATCATGACAAGGAGCACACGGCGGGTGTGACCGGTCGGCAGGGGATGCTCACTCCTCCATGGCACCTGATCCCACCTCTGATGTTTAGAGGTCCGTGTTTGCTCTGCTCCTATTTTGTATTGTTTAATGAACTTTTGAGCTTGAATACTGTTCGTTATCTCCATATATTTCATCTTATTCCTTTTTTTTTTTATTGTCAAACGATATTCGGCAAGCCTCGGGTATTTTGACAGCTGAAAAATTAAGAAACTCGAGTTGGAGAAAAACCGCTAACTTTCTCGAAATAGTTATGGAACCTATAATTTATTTCTCAGTAAACTTATCTTATTATCAATTATACTCTGTCAATAATCCAAAAGGGAAAAGAATAACAAGATCAACACAATACATGCTAAGGTTGCACAGCACATATAAGTAATCAGGGGTATCTGATCAGGGCTAGAGCTCTACTGATATGTTAAAATAAAACACTGTTTAGTTTTACCTTCACCAGTGTTCACTTAATTCTGTATCCTGATGTTTTATGTACCACGTTTTTACTGAAATCAAACTAAAATTGTAGGAGTGGGAGTTTCTCAGATTTTCAAAACAACTTTTTGGGGTCTTTACAACAATACTCATCAAAGGCTTAAACCAGAAACAGAATTATCTTAGAGCAAACATGTAAGAGAGGTATTGATTATAAAGAATCCCACACATTATTCTACTTAAAAAAAAAATAAATATGGTTTCATTGTTCGTCGAAAATTGAGACGCAGAATTCTGAATCTTGGTGTAACATGTTCTATAATGAGACCCGAAATTGAGGAGTATAGAAGCCATTTGAAAGATTTCAACAGAGATTTCTTTTTTAAGCAATTACGAGATAATGACTGTATGTTGCACTTCGTGTGCTATAATTACAGAATGTACATGTATACATATTTATTTATACGCACATCATCATTTATAAGCAAGGTAAATGCAAAATTCAATCATTCAACCAAGGGACAGTTTTGAACTCAGGTAAATTTAAACATTCATGAAAAAAGGCTGGAAAAAATAAATTACCACCTACATTCCAAATAGGTTATTGATAAGAAGTTCAATGTACAAAAATCTTAATGAGTAATTCTGCCATCAATATGTCATAGAATGCACGTCTTGAAGAAATTATAAGCATCGAAGCAAATAATGGTTTGGAAATGATGAAAAAGCTGAACTGCTTCCCTATAGGAAAATCCAGTAGAATGCCTATAATTCTTAGGCGAGACCTGTGTTAGAATAGTTCAATATAAAGGACCAATCTTGTGCATGATTTGATAAACTCAAAAGTATATAGTTAGAGAGCTCAAGAACAACATCTCTGAACGATTGGGGATTACCGTTGATTTACTCTATAACATATTCTATAAAAGTAAGTTGGATACATGCATCAGTAAAAGTCTAGCAATTGTAGATAACGTTATATACTTCAATTAAGAAATTTTGTATAAATCTAATCTTCACAGTAAATTATTCTTCCTTATTTTTACATGTACTGTTTACTTTAGAACTTTGTTTTGATTGTCAAAAGTATACAATCAAGGATATGGAGCTAGCTGAGAGTTCCCAGTTTATCAAATCATGGGAACTGGGGCAACTTAAACTAACACTAGAAATATTCTTCGTCTATTCAACACAAATAGATGAACAAAACAACTGACAGGAAAGTATTATAATCTAGTCAGGAAGAGTAAAAAATGATAGATAAAAGAAAATTTGAGAGCAGATATAGAACTAAATGTAATAGAATGTACACTTAAAATAAATCCCGCGGAGAGATGACCATTTGAACCCAATTAACAATTTATCATACAGAAACACATGAAGATGTATGACTATAGCTCTCAGGTAAACAAAAAACAAACAAAACAAAAATCCAAGGGGGAAAAGCAGAATTTATGTAAAATATGTAGATAAAAACAGACACAGGATTGACCGTAAGTGAAGAATACTACAGCAATACATAAATAGGAATAAATTATTTGAAGCCAAAGTTTCCCAACTCTAGACATACAAAGAATTTGAGTAGTCCTGGAAATTTTTTGTTTTAGAAATTCTCTAAGTTTATGACATAATTGATTATGTTTACAAACACAAGTCAAGCAGGCTGCTTTATAGAAGAGTTAATCTTCTTTTTCTGTCAGAATGCAAAGAAAACGTGGACTGAAATGTAAGATTAAAGTACACAAGCAATCACTAAGCGTGATTACATCAAAATCCTTATACATTGAACTGACTTTATCATTCATTTATAACAGGGATGGAAAAGACAGAAACTGGTTAAAGAATACAAGAAGGAGCAAAGAACACAAATAACAATGTTCCGGGACATTGCTTGACTGGTCCTCTGGTGTTTCCAGGGTCAGTGTTTTTGTTCTGTTCACAATTCGTATACTCATTGGATTAAGGAGATTAATCAATGTTCGTTAATTTCACCTTTTACATTCTGTGTATCATATTCGTTTCTACAGAATGATAAAATACAGTACGTGGCTTATTTTGATCATTTGATACTAAGATAAGTGATCTTACTAGAAATCAAAATTTCAAATTGATTTGTGAAAAATTTGACAGAAAACTCTTTAGCACGCATAATTTTAAATCGATCGATCGTCAAAATTTAAAGTTTATCAGCATGATCAATCAGACAATTACTGGCACTTTAATTTCAATTCAAATATTAGTACTTTAAATTTAGTGCCGCATATCACATAATTTTCATCAAAAGTCTCATGGGGGAGCCATTCGAAGGTGGATTGTTCAGGGTTATCTTTAGAGATGATGGACGCCGTACGCTTATAAAGTAACCAGTGTTTAAAAAACATAGAATGTTTTTTTTTATTCTATACCATACTAAACTAGTTATAATTGTAACGGACACCGTTACAGATGTTCCCCAAACGCTCCCCAACTCCCTTTTGGTGTCTTATTTCCTGTAAGTTTCATTAAATAAGGCAATGAAGTATATCGGTCGTTTTTTCCATTTCACGCGCGCGCACATGCATGCATGTGCAGTATGACCATGTCATCCCGTCTATACTATTAATGTATCTTTATATTCTCAGTATCAAAACATTTCATCAAAAATATATAAGTTCCGGCTATATCAAGTATACTGGTCATCTTAGCATTGCGCGCACGCGCACCTGCATGCATGTTCATAATGACCATGCCATCTTGTCTACAC